AGGATTCCCCTCTGGGTCAAGGCTGTATCTCCCACATCTCCCTGTGTCAGAGCCTCACTGTTTTGTGGCAACTTAACACAGCATCAGGCACCTGTGCCAGCCAGCAGCCCCTGCCCTGCTGGCCTCTGAGTCTAGGGTTTGGTGGGTGAGGCCTCTGTCTCAGTCCCAGCACTGACCCCCTTTACCCTGCCACCCACGCTTGCCTTTCTGTGTGCAGATAAGGATACCACACTACCCACTGCCTCCCAGAGCCATTGCTGTTCGACCTTGGGCAACTCACTTCAACTCCTTTCTGTCCTGAGGGCCCTCCTCTGAGAAGGGATCAGCTGTCCTCTGCCTGTGTAAAGCTGACTGGAGGACAATAGGCTGGCCCTTTGATAGGACATTGCATGGTTAATGGGGTTACTCCATGCCAGGGTGCCCTAACTGACTTCCCAGACCAGTGCTCCCAGAGAAAGGTCTCTACCCAGGAGAAAGACCGACGCTTGGTCCAGTCTCAGTCACCAAGCTTTAGGCACAATTTCTTTCTTTCTTTTGTTTTTTTTATAGAGATAGGGTCTCACTATGTTGGCCAGGTTGATCTTGAACCCTTGTCCTCAAACAGTCCTCCCGCCTCGCCCTCCCAAAGTGCTGGGATTACAGGCATGAGCTATTGCACCTGGCCTATTTCTGATTTTTCATACTAAAAACAATCTCAGTCAAAATGCCTCCTTTGGCTGGGCATGGTGGCTCACAGCTATAATCCCAGCTCTTTGGGAGGCTGAGGTGGGCAGATCACTTGAGCTCAAGAGTTCAAGACTAGCCTGCTGGGCAACATGCCAAAACTCCGCCTTTACAAAAAATATAAAAATTAGCTGGGTGTGGTGGCAGGCGCCTACAGTCCTAGCTACTCAGGAGGCTGAGGTGGGTGGATCTCTTGAGCTCAGGAGGTTGAAGCTGCAGTGAGCTGTGATGGCACCACTGCATTTCAGCCTGGGTGACAGAGTGAGACCCTGTCTCAAAAAAATATAAATAAAAAACAAAACAAAATGCCCCCTTTGCCTTTTCTTATACTCCTACTGGAACTGGTCAGACAGAAGCTACAGTGGCCCCTCCCAAGTCACTGAGTACTAAGATCTACCTTCCCTGTGGAACTGGGCTTTGATCTCAGGCCACTTCTCCCACCAGTATGGTTTCCCTGCAGAAGCCCCTCCTCTGGCAGGGTCAGGTTCATTTCTGGGCTCTGGGGTAGGAGTGGCAGGGATATAGGTATGCTATTAAGATAGAGGCTGGAATGTGGGGGCTTTGAGGGCCCTGGGAAGCACTAGGGAGAGAATCCTTCACAGAGGAGGAAGGTGGGGCAGGTCTAGTATATATTCTGTGATTGAGGATGTCTGGCAGGGATCCTGGTTGAATATGTTGGTCCTCAATCTCACTTTAGCACACCTAGTATTGTCTTTCCTGGTCTCAAAGTGACCTGCTCAGGGATGGGACTGACTGGGGGGGAGGGACAGTCAGGCCTGAAAGCCTTGTCCATTGTTCTCACCGTGTCTACCTTAAATTAGGCCACTTAGACTCCCAAACCTCTCCCTGGGCTAGTAGCCACAACACTTATTCATTCCAGCTAGCTTGATTGAGGATTTCCCCTTAGCTCATCATGTTTGGGGAACAAATGGTTTTGATACGAGCATGAGAGGGAGGGATGAGTAAGAGTGGAGAGGGTGGCAGGTCTCTCAAAGGCCACAGCAAAAAGACTGGGCTGTGTGCAAAGAATCTCTTCCACCTGCAGTCCTGAACCCTTGGGTCCTTCCAGGTGTTATTCTGCTTAGAACTGTTTTGTGGCTCTCTGAGACTGCTCTCTGGACCAAGTCCAAACTCCTCAGTATTTGAGAACAAAGTGCTGACCATGTCTTCTCAGCACCCTGTGCTGACTTCAGCAACTAACTTTCTGTGATTGTAGTTGGCTGGTCTTATCCTCTCCTCCCAGATTAGGAGCTGCTCAAAGGCAGTCCTGTGTCCCCTATGGCCACCTTGGCATGGTGCTAGGGGCAGACACAGAAGAATCCAAGAGCTTGGGGCAAGGGGGATGTTTGGCATGGAGAGGAAGAAGTTTTTTAAACTCTGAATTTCTTCAAAGGCTCCTGTTTTGCCTAATGTGGAACAAGGGACTGGGGTAGACTAAACCGTACCTTCCCCTGGCTCAGAGGGCACTGAAGAACTACAACAATGGGTGCTTAGGGTCAGTCCTGTGACAGCTGATGATAAAGATGGCTTTCCCTAATTCCCAGGCTTGGCTAGCATTCACACAGGGAGAGTGGTTTTATGGTGACTCACATAGCCCTTGTCCACCCTGGGGTTCTACCTACTGCACTGGTCCTGTGGGCCTCCTGGTTTCACAGGGCTCTCAGCGGGCTGGAGGTGGACCCAGATGACCTGCAGGAGCTTTGGAACTGCCTGAGGAAGAGCTTATGGGGGGACGTCCTGGTCTTGGCTGGGGCAAAGGGCTGAAAGAGTATGTATACATCGGTGTGCGTGTGTGCGCAGGCCCCTTCACAGCCTGCAGAGCTCCCAGCCATTGCTGACTTTCTTACCCACATGGTGACTCTTCCTGCAGTTGGTGCCAGTCCCTGTCCCAGCCCTCACCATTCCTTGGTAGCTTCTCAGTTTACCCCAGGCCAGAAACTGTCCCTACAATGTAACCTCTTCTAAGAGTTCTCTGGTGCTCAGTGGCTGGGAACACAGATGCATAGCTGAGCATTTGATGAGTGGGTGAATTTTTCAAGCCATCTACACCTTCTCTGTGGCCTCTTCTTAGTGGAGGGGCTGACTGGCCCGGGGTCTCCCTCCTGCCTGCCGTCTGGTCTGATTATGGCTGATCCCATGGTTTGGGTGAAGTCATGTCTGCAGGGACTTCGAGCTGGCCAACCCTCTGGAACCTTTTACTTTATCAGGATCCTGTTACAAATAGGTGGGCCGGCAACCTGCTTAAGGCAGAGGACTCCAAGTTCCACACTCAGGCCCTCAAGGTTGTAGATTTGCAGGCAGGACAGGTTATTGGGAAGGATGTTTCACTCACCTAATGCTTGTTGTTTCCTCTCCTTCACCACTATTATCTTCTCCCTCTAACTTCATTCACCCTTGCCCCAGTCAAATCCAGTAATCCACCCAGAATTCTGGCCATGTAAATCCCCTGCTCTGAGTCCTTCCACGGCTCCCTACTGCTGTCAGCATAAAGTTCAGACACTTTGCAGTGGCCTGCAGCATTCTGCCCACTCATCCAGCCCCACCTTTGGCTTCTGCTCACTGCAGGTACTTTCTGGTTTCCAAGTCTTTGGAAATCTGTTCTCTGCCTGGAATGAAACTTGCTCCCTTCTTGCCTGTCTCTCCAGTTCCTACTCACCTCTGTCAAGGCCCTGCAGCCAGTGAGCTTATGAACTGTCTCTGAGTTCTGGCACAACCCTCATTTCTTTGCACAGTAATTATAGATTTGCTGGTCCCCTCTCCCTTACCCCTGAAGGGAGACTTAATTTATTAATTCATCTCTGAATCCCCAGGAGCAGCACAGGTACTGGCACAGAACACTGGGCGGAAATGAACCAATCCAAGATGAACGTCTTGGATGCTCTGGACATTCCCTGTCTTCTAACCTAAAGTCTAGTTTGGCTCCCTCTAGGGCTCCCTGGTAGCTCAAGTGTCAGTCCAGACTTTGAGACATCTACAAGAGGCTTCCCTTTACCCTCACTTCCCACTGGCTTTTGTGGGTGGTGTGGAAATGTGCTGTAGGCCTCGAGAGTGGCATTTCTTTTTTCTTCTTCTCTCTTTAACAACCTATTGTATCCTGAGAGGGCAGTATTTCTTGGGCGCACCTGCACCCAAGTCTCTGACAGCTCCCTGGGTTCCTCCAGCAACACGCCTCTAGGGATGCTATGCCCTGTGGGCCTTGTGCCCGGGGCACGGAGCTAGGGGAGGCGGTCACCCTGCCTCTCTTACCTCCCGGTCCACCTTGTGCCTCAGTGGAGCCTTAGGTCAACAAGCCAGGCTCCCAGTCCCCAAGGACGCCTCCACCCCAGACCCCAGGAGGAGGCATCTTGGGCCATCTTGGGAAGGCAAGCTGCTCGGGAGGGGCAGATCACGAAAACGGTTCTTTAGGCGGTGTCACTTCCTCTTCACTGCCAGCCAGCCAATTTGGGCGGCTCCATCCTTCCCTCTTTAATGGATATGCACTAGGATGCAGAGATCACAGAGCCGTGATTGGCGCGAGCTCACAACGGGCTTTCCCGCTCAATCTACTCAACTTCCAGCAAGGGACAGGCCCTGCCCACTGGGCTTCGCCGAGGCCTCAAACGCGCACGCTGTCACGGAATCAGCAGCGGGGACTCGCTAGTGGGGACAAAGGCCCAGCCGCCTAGGCGCAGGCTCCGCCCCGCAGAGGGTGGGCCTGCGGCGACCGCGAGCTCAGACTCCGGACCCATAGCGCAACCTATCTTCTTCGGTTCCGCCGCAACCTAGCTGGACTCTCGGTCTGGTCCCCACCCTCTGGAGAGTCAGACATTAAAGTTGAGGTGAGGCGGATGAGAATGTGGGCGGCGTCCAGGTAAACCAGCCGGGCCCTGATGCCTTCCCTAAAGCCAGCCATCAGGAGTAACACGAGGAGGCCCCACATCACCGAACCCAGAACGTCAGTGTTTTGGCACCCTTTCCTCGTCATGAGCTCCGTCAAATGAGGAAAGGGGTCTTCTCCATTGGCCGGCGATGGTCCCCTATCCAAGTAGAGCAATCAATCGGCCTTATACCCCATAGTGTAGAAGGAAACGCCGTGGGAATACAGGCCGAACTACAACTCCCGAGCGGTAGCTGGGTTCTTCGGGTCTGCGTGTTCACGTGACTTCCTTCTCCCGTAGACCGAGTTACGCGATAGGCTTGTGAGGGAGCGGGGCCCGGCCCCTGTTCGCCGCGCTAGTGGCCAATAGGCAGCCGGGCCGGATGGGCGCGCGTAGGAGGCGGGGCCGGGCGCGCGGCAGGGTGCGGGAGCGCGCCCGTGGTGGCGGCGGCGGCGGCGGCGGCGGCGACTGTGGCGGGGGGGGGGGCGGGGAACGTTGGCTAAGGCGACAGTGGCGGCTTAGGCACTGGCAGCGGGCGGCTGGCGTTCCTGGTGCTGCTCGGCGCGCGGCCGACTCTCTAGTTCGGGGCGGAACGCTCGGCGGCGAGGGCCCCGCCCGGAAAGTTTGCTGTGGAGTCGCGACCTCCTGGCCCGCGCGGCCCGACATGGAGCGGCGCTGAGGAGCTGCTACCGCTGCCGCTGCCGCTGCAGCCGCCGCCGCCGCCGCAAGCCGCCGCCACCTGAGGAGGAGCCGCAGCACCTTGGGCCACGCCGATGACTACTGCAAACTGTGGCGCCCACGACGAGCTCGACTTCAAACTCGTCTTTGGCGAGGACGGGGCGTCGGCGCCGCCGCCCCCGGGCTCGCGGCCTGCAGGTGGGTGCCGGGCCAGACGGGAAAGAAGAGCAACCCCTCTTCTCGCTGGCAGGATCTCTCGCCCCCTCCCTGTTCCCTTGGATGACCGGAGACCGATAACCCCGAGTGTGTGCGCGTGCGTGTGCGTGTATGTGTGCGCGCGCCTGTGTGTGGTGAGTTAAAAACGGATTTAAATCTCTGAGGATGCGTGTGGGTCGCTGCGACGTGGAAGTGGTGGCGGGCTTGGCTGGAAGCAAACTAGTGGGGAACTTGACTCCGGGACGCTCGGGGTTTGGAGGCCCAGGGTCCGGGCTGCTGCCCAAGTGGCGTCTGGTTGTTCCTCCTTTGCCAGTGTGTTGCAAGGAAAATGTCCCTGTAAAGTGTAAGCGCACTGGGTTTTTCATCTATTCTAGGTTGTTTCTTGAAATTTTCCTTTGAAAGATGCTTATTTTTCAACGATAGGACCCCTCTAAAAATCACGAACATAATTAAGTCTACTTTGCTAGGAGAGTAATGCTTTCGAGTTAACGTCCACTTGTGCTAGTTTATGGCCCACAATTAATTCGAAGTGTACTGTAACGGGATTTTTCCGGAAACTTAATTTCCTTACTTGAATAAAGATTTTTTAAAAGTAGTGGGTTGCTTTTTTCATAATTTTCCTAGAAATCCTAGAAGTTGATTTTTGTTTAAAGAAAAACTTCTTGGAAGATATTTTAAAGGAAATCTTGAATTGGGAAAGCTGGGCACCATAATGCTTGCACGTCAGACCAATCAGGAAATAGAAACAGGATGACTGGGGAGTTGGAGCTCTTTTGTGACCTGGTTTGGAGTACTGTGGTTCATTAAGTTCAGTGTCCCTATTACATATGCATGCGAACTTCAAAAAGGAAATGGATAAGAGCAATCCCTATTTTTTCTTGCCTGGTGTGAGGTAAATTCCTTAATGTTCATGTTGATGTTCAATAGACTGTTCTGGAGAGTTGCATTGTAAAACATACCTGAGTCCCGGAGTTCCCCGCTAGTTTGATTCCAGCCAAGCCCGCCACCACTTCCACGTCGCAGGAACCCACATGCCTCCTCAGCGATTTAAATCCATTTTTAACATACTTGAAAGTGAGGCATGAGGATCCTTTAGTTGGTACTTGTTTTATCGGTCCTTTTAGTCGTCACAGGCTAGTTGTCTTTTTCAGTGTAATACATAATTCATAATAGCTATGTGTTGCCTGCGTTTATTTTCAACTCCGTTAACATAGTTTGAGCGCCTATTACATTGAACTACTGTTACTGATCTTGTAGTGTTACGATGATGCAGAGGACTGAGGCTTCTCAACTATTTTGGGAAATAGTTGGAGGCGACACATAGTCCAAGTAATAACTGTGCTACTAGGAAGTCTGTGAATGGTGATGCATTTTATAGTAGATGAAGAAACAGGAAAAGTGGCATTTGTGGAGAGTGTAGCATTGAATTGTACCTAGATTATCGGGACTTGAAAGAAAAACAGCTTGTTTGAATATTTTTATTGTAAAAAAGATAAATAGTTGAATGTCAGCAAACTTTTATTGGGCATAAATTGATTAGAACACATTATATACCAAATATGTGATGGGTAAGGGTGTTAACCAAACATATGAATAATAAAGGAATTGAGTATAAGTAGTAATTGTATATACAACCAAAATATTGGATAACATTTAAAAGCTATGAAAATGCTTTTTAAATGGTCTTTACTTTACACAAAAGCCATTTTGATATTAAAATAGGTCTAAAAGTAGTTAAAATCGGTATAACTTGATTTATAACTGAAATTTCCAAAGGTAAATATCAGGAGTTTCATTTGTGACAAAAAGTCCACTTTAAAATATTCAAGCTGGTAATTTTTTTTTTACAAGTTTTTTTCCAATATTAAGGCAAAATACATATGAAACAAACCGTCTTAAAGTGAACAATTTAGTGCATTCAGTGTTGTACAGCTACTGCTTTGGTCTAGTTCTAAAACATTTTCATCCGAAGGAAAACTCAGCACCCATTAAACAGTTGCTCCCCATTTTCTCTTGCCTCCCCACAACCCCTTGCAGCTACCAGTCTGGGATCTGTCTCTGTGGTACCTATTCTGGATATTTTATATAAATAGGATAATATAATATGTGAACGTTTGTGTCTGACGACCTCATTCCTTTCTGTGGCTGAGTAATATTCCATTGTGTGTGTGTATAAAGGAACACAATTTGTTTACCAGTTGATGGACCTTTGGACTTTTTCCGCCTTTTGGCTATTGTGAATAGTGCTGCTATGAACACGTAGCAATTAATTTTGAAATTCTATTGAGGGGGATGTGATATATTCACAGCTAAGTTTTCAAAATTAATTGTTCACAAAATTAGTTTTCATTTTACTAAGCATTATTATGATTATGTAGTTTGAAGGAACAGAGTAGAATCACCGAAATGATTTTAGGATAATATATGCAGTAACGTGGAAAATAAGAATAGAGTCGTTGGTAGAATTCAGATCATTGCTGGGTTGTATCAGTGTGTTTGCCGAACTCTTTTTGGATTCTCTTCCTCACTGGAATGGAAGTTCCTTGAGCGCAGGGGTGGCGTCTGTAATCCTTTTCAGTTATATTATCAGTGCTTAGTACAGTGCCTTTACACGGTAGGCACTATATACGTATATATACATATATACACACATATACACATATATGTATATATACTGTTTTTTTTTTTTTTTTTGAAGCAGTGTCTCGCCCTGTCACCCAGGCTGGAGTACAGAGGCATGATTTCAGCTTGCCGCAGCCTTGATCTGCTGGGTTCAAGTCATTCTGCCTCTGCCTCCCGAGTAGCAGGGATTACAGGTGTGTGCCGCCAAGCCTGGCTACTTTTTGTGTTTTTAGTAGAAATGGGGTTTCACCATGTTGGCCAGGCTGGTCTCAAACTCCTGACCTCAAATGATACAGATGCCTCCCAAAGTGCTGGGATTACAGGTGTGGACCACTGCACCTGGCCCAATATATATATATATTTATATAATATAGCTACTTCTTTTTTTTTTTTTTTTTTTTTTCTGAGACGGAGTTTCAATCATGTTACCCAGGCTGGAGTGCAATGGCGCAATCTCGGCTCACCGCAACCTCCGCCTCCTGGGTTCAGGCAATTCTCCTGCCTCAGCCTCCTGAGTAGCTGGGATTACAGGCACGCACCACCATGCCCAGCTAATTTTTTGTATTTTTAGTAGAGACGGGGTTTCACCATGTTGACCAGGATGGTCTCGATCTCTTGACCTCGTGATCCACCCGCCTCGGCTTCCCAAAGTGCTGGGATTACAGGTGTGAGCCACTGCACACAGCCCCAATATTTTGTTAAATAAATAAATAAATAATGCCTAGGTTTTGAGTCAGTGCTCACTGCTTTTTTTGTGGTGGAGGAAATTGATGAGAGTTGTTTCAGTTCTTTGGCTATCTTGGTAATTTGGGGCTGCAGTGGTTTTACATCCCTAAAGGTTTGGGAGTACTTGTATCACAACTAAATATCCATACAGTGAGAAGATTTTTGAAAAATAGTGAGGTGAGTGGATAGAGAGTGAGGACAAGCCAAGAGCTGAATTTAGTGAATGTCCTAAGCAAGCCTGTTAACATGTAAATTAGATGATGTGAGATGCCCTTAGTAACACTTGATAATGTTGTATACATTTGTGACTGACAACTGACTTTTTAAGACTATTGTTTGCAGCAGTATTTTGAGATTTTTTTGAGACGGAGTTTCACTCTTGTTACCCAGGCTGGAGTGCAATGGCGCGATCTCGGCTCACCGCAACCTCCGCCTCCTGGGTTCAGGCAATTCTCCTGCCTCAGCCTCCTGAGTAGCTGGGGTTACAGGCAAGCGCCACCATGCCCAGCTGATTTTTTGTATTTTTAGTAGAGACGGGGTTTCACCATGTTGACCAGGATGGTCTCGATCTCTTGACCTCGTGATCCACCCGCCTTGGCCTCCCAAAGTGCTGGGATTACAGGCTTGAGCCACCACGCCCGGCTTTTTTTTTTTTTTTTTCTGCTAGAAGAAGTTACTTGTAGGGGTGGGGGGGGGGGGGGGGGGTTGTCTTCTAACTTTATTGACACTATCGTTAAAACATCTTAATAATCCACTACCATCAGACCAGCCTACCTTGTTGTTTTTTTTTTTTTTTTTAATATAAGATGACAGTACTGTCTCTGATTTTTCCAGTTAAAAATGAACCATTTTAGGCCGGGCGCGGTGGCTCAAGCCTGTAATCCCAGCACTTTGGGAGGCCGAGGCGGGTGGATCACGAGGTCAAGAGATCGAGACCATCCTGGTCAACATGGTGAAACCCCGTCTCAACTAAAATACAAAAATTCAGCTGGGCATGGTGGCGTGTGCCTGTAATCCCAGCTATTCAGGAGGCTGAGGCAGGAGAATTGCCTGAACCCAGGAGGCGGAGGTTGCGGTGAGCCGAGATCGCGCCATTGCACTCCAGCCTGGGTAACAAGAGCGAAACTCCATCTCAAAAAAAAAAAAAAAAAAAAAAAAAAAAAAAATGAACCATTTTGTTAAACATTCTTTTACTTAATATCTAGCTCCAAATAGATGATATACCTTAGTAGTAAATAGGAAATTTAAAATAGGTACATGTTTAATGTATTCCATTAACATTATTTACCATTATAAAGGACAGCCTCTGGTACTCTATTTTAGTATAGTGATTGTGTATCTTTAAGTTTGATGTTATAACAGATAATATGTACTTTGCAAATTCAGAGTTTCATTTTCAGGGTTCATTACTAAATATTGACTTTCTAGTCCTGAATGAGAGTTACTGGAGGAATGTGCTATATACTGTGTGTAGTATCTCATCTACTGCTGTTTTTTCAAAGGACAGAAATATCTTAGATACAATATGTATTTTTGTAAGAAGTTTACTTGATTATAAGATATGTGTAATTTTTTTTTCAGATATTCCTTTAATACACAACTTTTTCATATGTCAAGTTGAGGAACTTTTCCTA